TGTTTCAAGTAATTCTCAGCTCACTCTATTGTTACCTCTTGCGAGAATTTCGGCCTCATCAAATTTGAACGTGTGGCCGGGTCTCGTCAAATAGCGAGAATTTCGGCCTCATCAAATTTGATTGTGTAGGCCGGGTCTCGTCGAATGAGCGCAACTTGAGAATTGGCATCGTTTCGCCGCACTGCTGTCTCGTCGAATGAGCCGCAACTTGAGAATTGGCATCATTTCGCCGCACTGCTGACGCGTGTTTGGTAATTCACGTCCTGCGAAGTCTTCCCGTTTCTCCGACATAGTTGCTTTGCCCGCAACTGCACTCGATCCTGTAGACAACTCCAGATATCGGTTCCACTCCATCATATATCTGTAGTCGCTTAGCGACTGCCTGCCATCACTCAAGTACGAGCCTCAAGACACAACGGGACAAGCATATTCCCTAATCAGACAGATTGGATATATATTTATTACAGAGTTCTGTGGATAAGGTTGTCTATTGGTCTAGGGTGGCCTTGCCCGCTATATTCTAGAGCTGGTAAAGTAAACGGATGAGTTTTATCTCGGAGCATTTTCAACTGCTACCAACAAGCTGTCAGAAAAATGACACGAACTTTTGCTAGAGCGCGCGAGGGCCGGGAGGGCAGCGACAACAGTGTGCAGTTTATGCAAAGAGGTGGGAGAGCCCTGTCAGTGCTAGGAGAGAAAGCGATTTAGATGAGCTAAGGTTGGGCGACAGATGACGGTTCAGGGCGTATCCGGATGAAATAATGTAATTCATTTGCCATTGTTTTATGACGATAAATGGCGCTCAAAGCAGCCTTATTGTGCCATGTCAACCCACGACTAGCGACTCCCAACCACATTTATCAACTGTCTGTTTTAGATTATTTATCATAAGACCTACACGTTCATACATGCCATGACGTGGGAAGACTTGATGTCAGTACAGCAGACCGAAAGCACTACCCAGCAGACCTACCGTGAGAGCCTATTCTGACAAGATGAAGATGAAAGAGCTACACAAAAGTAAGGAAGTTGATATTGTCATGCCACACAAGTGTGTTGCTGCAGTTCCAATGATAAAACGTGATTGTTTCAAAAGTCTGGTCGATCATAGCGGATGAGATTGAGTTCAGAAGAGAAGTAGAAAGTAAGCACCAATATGAGCTCATTTGGCAGCATGTGTTCGGAAGCTGAAAAGTTGGGTTTTGCGTAGTGAATACGAATTCGAATCTAATATGCTTGAAGATTCTAGGTCCAGATATCATATCGTTTTCACCATCCCCCAAAGAAGAGGAAGAAGAAGGTACGAGGGTATGGACTGTTTTATTTTGAGACCGACGTTTCGTACACTCTCTCGGTTCCATCGTCAGAGTAATTGGGTGGTTGTTCCTGTTCGCCGGGACTGTTGCAGCCTTGCCGCATGTCTGTTATTATATCCGCGCTAGGCGCACGAACTTTGAACTGCCTGATCGATATTGACTGACCGTGATATTGATCGCTGGTGAGCTCGT